GAGAGAGAGAGAGCGAGGGAGGTGGGGGCTCTAAGGAGCCTGGGGGAGGTGGGGGCTATGCTGTTCAATGTGGAGCGAGGTACTTCCTAGCCTAGCAGGATCGCCATGGCTTTTAAGATCACCCCAGCCAATGATACATTCTGTATAGCACGATTTCCAAACTAGTAAATGTTGACCAGTAGAAACCCATCGGCAGAGATACGGCACAGCCACAGCAGAAATGGCCGGGATTATCAAAAAGCAAATTCTGAAACATTTGTCAAGGTAGGTGTCATGTTGGTTAGCCTGCTAGCCTTGCTGGATGCTGGCGACGTCAACAATCGCTTCTCGCTGGCTCGTATTGACACTTTCGGGGACACTTGTTTTTTCGAACGTGTTGTAAATTTCCGATTGCCGAACATCAGACGAGAAGAGAATTTCTATCTTCGTGTAAGCAGGCATGATCTTGCACATTATTTCTGAAACGTGCAAGCCCCTTCTTAAGCTCCACAAGCACCTGCATGAAAAACCGATTTACTGTAATTCATTTTGGTACAATCACAGTTTTTCACTCCAATTCTTACACACCAAGTCAATGGTTGAATTGCAGTGCTTTTGCAGATTTACAGATTTGACTTGAGCCAGAAAGCCTAAAAATAAAGGAATGTGACATCTGTGAGAATCATCATGAATTTTGGACATACAGTACTTTGTCACATTTATTTTTTAGTTTTAGTCCTAATTCAGACACAAAAGTAATATTTATGTGAGACATTGTCTAACAATACCATTACCATAATGTGGCTGTCATAATTTCGAGTAGTTTAGTATGTATTCAAATCCAATCCAGCATGTAGGTCCCATTAGGTTTTTAAACAGTGATCCTATTTGTAAATTGTTTAAGATCAACTTTAGTGCTGTTTAATTTTCAGGCCACCAGTTTTTAGAGTGCCAGGTTTTTTTCTAGTGGGATAAACTTAAATGTTTGCACTCATTTCAAGCATGTTAATCGGTGGCACTATAGTGTTTTGAACTAATATTGGTTTTAATTCCATCAAATCACTACTTTTTTTTCATCTAGTCCATCATTTAGAAAGTAGTAAAAGTGCACTCAAAGCAGATATTAAAACAAACCACAGATTTGTCACGGACATGTAAAGTTGGGTGTTGTATGCTCAGTGGGATGTGGGAGCTTAGTTTTGAACTGGTCTGTCAGGTCTTTCAGGCACATCATGGTGTTTACTAACGAAGTTAACAATTTGGCCAAATTCACAAGATCTGGGTGTCGACTACTCCCTAAGCTTCTTGTTTGACATTTTGCACAATTCTCTGAAATGTCACGATGATGCGTCGATCGTGTTTTATCTGTGAAATGAAGAGATATTGAACAAATGAAGGTGCTGTGATTGATGTTGTGTTGCTTTTCCCTACAGTTGTTTTCTCGCTCTCCTTTTATTTGCTTCTTATCCAGATGTGTGGATAAAATAGCAATTTTCTTTAGTCTTAAAGGAATCCTGAAATGCATGATTTTATTTCTGCCCCACAAATCTGTGACCTTCTGAGATAAAATGACTATTGTCTTTGGTCCGGTTCTTCTGCTTAGGTTCACCAAGAATCTGTCCCCAGACAAAATCAACCTGAGTACCTTGAAGGGGGAGGGGCAACTGTCCAACCTTGAGCTCGATGAAGAGGTTCTGCAGAACATGCTCGACCTTCCTACCTGGCTGGCCGTCACACGTGTCTACTGCAACAAAGCTGCCATTAGAGTGAGTCACTCTTAAAAAGACCAGCGAACCGGTTTGACAGATAAGTGCACAACTGAACCGTTAAGCAGAAACGACATTTTTAATCTTTATTTATCAGGTAAGGGAGTGGGAACAGATTTCATTTGCAATGCCGACCTGGTTGTAGGCAGCAAAGTCTTAAAAAAACATGACTGATACAAGTATTCTTTATCATACCTGTTCAAAAATAATCAAAATGATTTTCTTCAGTTTTATCTAATCTTTGACAAAGTGTAGACCAAGGAAGTTTGTCGAGGAGTAGCAGTTTTATTTTGTCATACATCATATGAGTCATTATATTTTTATTCACACTTTTTAACTTTTTAAAAATACATGAAGAATCAACAGTGGTCCCCAATCACAGGTCTGCAGGTCGGACCAGGGGGGTGGGGGGGCACCGCTGGACAGCCCTCTAGCTTGATTACCTTCCTCGACCTATTGAGCCATTCATCCATCTTCTGAGCCACTTATCCTCTCAAGGGTCGCGGCCTATTAATCCAATTAAAAAAAATCTCTTTATGAATGCATTTTCTTTATTCCTTATTGGCATGACACATCGAGAAGTGCCGGGAATATGCTTGCTTGCTTGCTTACGTCATGCTTTGAAGAGTCTTTTGTGCCCACTGAGTACAAAAGACTGTCAAATTCTGTGAATTTTTTTTCCACAGCCTTGACTAACTTTGTAGTCCTACTGTCTTTGCAGATACAATGGACCAAATTAAAAACAAGCCCCATCTGTCTGGTAAGAATTTGCTTCTGTCTTGCAGTACTTTTCAGCATCACTTGTCTCGTTATATCCCAATGATTCTAGCATCGGCCTTTTGTGTTCTTTATCTTTAAAAAATATTTGCCCACATTCTGTTTTATCCACGGCCAATTCTATTTCCTCTTTTGTGCAGTTCCTGGATAAGGTGGAGGTGGAAATGAGGACATGTGAGGAGCCACGTCCGCCCAATGGCCCCTCTCCTATCGCCATCACAGCAGGCCAGAGGTAAGCCCGCAGGGATCCTGCGTGAAAGGGAGCACATTGGCTCATGTGTGCTGTGACTGTTCACAGCGAGTACGGTTTTGCTGAGAAAGTGGTAGAGGGCATGTCTGTTCGGATCAACTCCATCACCATCAAAGTGCAGGCTCGGGCCTTCCATGCCTCTTTTGAGCTGTGGCAGCTGCAAGGCAACAGCCTCAACCCTAAATGGCAGCGCAGCGACCTCCGCTTCACGCGCATCACAGACCCAAAGAGAGGAGAGGTACCAGTGCAGCATCGAATTCTGTCCACATCGTATTTGGTTTAATTTGTCTGCATGTGTGCATGTAGTTAATGTCAGGGCTGTGAGAAATATTCAAAATGCATACAATCCTCTCTGCATTGTTACTTTAGGAAGCAAATTAAATCCATACTTACGGGTGTAACAAAATACGTCTTGGACTGGAAAATCGCTTATTGAAGAGGTATACTGTATCTTACTAAGAAATGGCACATTAACAGTAGTGACCAGTTCATTCAATTGTATGTAAAATGACCACAAAAAGTCCTGACATCAGACTGACGTCTTAAACTGAGATGTACCATATTGAATTGAATCATAATCCCACTGAGTTGAAACGAAACGAATCATTCCACTTTCAAATTACACCGTCCACGAATCATTTCGCACCCTACGTATCAAATCGTCTTTTGTGGAGAGATTCACACCCCTAGCCAATTCTGCTATTCTATGTACCCAGTTGATGAAGTTATGACAAGGTTCCCGCAAATCCTTAAAGTATCAATAAGAAATAGAATAAGACAATCTAAAAATGAGCCCTTAATTGGTATAAAAAGTCTTGTCATGTAATAAGTAGGATTTTATGATTGTAAATAGTCTAAAATCTTTAAATAAATTAACATTCTTAAAAAAAAAAAAAAAAAAAAAACATCCGGAATTTTTTCCTCAATGTTAACGTCACATAATCATAACAGCGGAACCAAAAAAAAGTAATGTGGTTTTTAGTTTGAACTCTTAAGCGCAGAGTCATTTATGGACTGGAGCAACTTCGAACAACATTGGGACCTTGTGAAGTTGTTGGTCTCCAATTTAATTTCAAATGGAATTAAAAAGGCTTGAATTTAACTTGCCTTTAGCCATAGGAACTCTGTCTTAAGTAAAGCCTATTTGACCCAAGTTTCACCTCTTCTTCCCAATGATGGCTGTCATGTTTGACTGCTGCGTGTGTTGTGTACCTTCTCTCTGCTTCAGGTGTTGACGTTCAAGGAAATTAATTGGCAGACTTTGCGCATCGAGGCAGACGCCATCGAGAGTGACGAGCAGGATTTGGGGAGCACCCCGTTGCGCCTCATCACTAACCAGGGGCGCATCCGCATTGCTCTAAAACGCCGAGTGAGATATGATCTACTTTGTTTGAATTGATATTCTTGTCAGATAATTTTTACATTACGTTGCATGAAAGTATGCGAGCTGCAGTATCATATTTATTGAGAGTAATGTAATGCGGATGTGAGGATCAAAGCATCTTCTCTTGCTGTCCATGCATTCGGGTCACAAATGCTTCCTTGTTCCACCCAGATAAAGGACTGCAACGTGTTGGCCTCCAAACTGCTTTTCATTCTGGATGACTTGTTGTGGGTGCTGACCGACTCTCAGCTCAAAGCCATCATCCGCTATGCCAAGTCCCTCAGCGAGGCCATGGAGAAGTCGGCTCAGCAGAGGAAGAGCTTGACTGCAGATTCCCTGCAGGTCCTCCTGCCGAGTGTGATCGAGTCAATGAAACTCAAATTGAGCATTCAATAGCTTAATCTTATGTCATCTGAAAAGCATATTTAAAGTCTTGCAAATGACAATTTCCTGTGCTTTTCTTGCACGCGTCTTAAGAATTGCATTCCTTTCTTCAACATGTTAGCTTCAAATGTGGGCTGGAGTCTGTCTCTTTTCATAACGAGATAATTAATATGACCACTTGTATGTTATAGACTGCTTCTCCATCACCTGGGCTCCACAACCTTTGGGCCGAGTCAACAGCCGCTCATACTGGCTCACCCAACAACATGAGTCAATATTTTGATCGCTTTGATGTGAAAGAATCTTCTTACCATACTTTCATTTCCCGCTTGGACCTACATGTATGCAATGACAGTTCCTCAGTTGCTGAAGGTACACGAATCAGACTTGCATTCAAGTAAAATCATAAGGGTCTGTCACTACCACTCCCAACAACTATAATATATTGACAGATCGAGAAGAGCCTCCAGGTTTGCAGGGTGCAATGCAGTTGACCTTCAAGAAGTTGGGCTTTGACTACTATCCTGTTCACAGACCTGGTGAGTGGGATGAGCCCCTCTCCATTTTATTACCCTTTGTTAAACGGTGTCCTGCCACATATTCATTTGTGAATCAGTGTTCTGTGACAATTGTATCGTAATAATAATAATAATAATAATAATAATAATGCATAGTTTACCACTGGCCAATGATGCTGCACCCAGAAAAGGAAGTTTATCATTCTGAATCATTTACATTTAACAATTTGCCGTAGTTGTCATTTATCTGATTTATTTAAGAATGAATCTTGATGATAGTCTTCATTTTTTCATTGTATCTGCTGAAATTGTCTTCAGACTCAAAGGCCCACAATAACGAAACCGACTCGCATGTGTGCAGTGTTTGTGAACTATAATTTTCATCTCTCTCTCTCTCTCTCTCTCTCTCTCTCTCTCTCTCTCTCTCTCTCTCTCTCTAAAAACACACATTTCTACCACTTAAAATATCCTGAATTTTGCCAAACTAGTGACGTTACTCTCTTACCCACCATTTCTTTCAGTGCTGTTTTCGTTTCAATGCATTCTTTTTTTTTTGATAAATGTTCTGAGACGGTGTGAGTAGCCAACTATAATTATTTCAGTCCAGTCGCTCTCCATGCATTAGGACTAAATTTGAGGACTGTGTTTTGCTGACATTTAATGCTCCTGCTCTCTAGCTGATGGATGTCGCCACTGGGAACGCTATAGTGGAACTATGGAAGCTCAGGCGCAGTGGGCAGGCAAACTGCTGCATGACTTCCAGAGGAGGGCAGAGTCGTCGGGGTTTCCGGGTCCATGTACTGAGGCGCCGGAGCCACGCAACGATTCGCCCGCAAGGAGGCCCCGAGGTATGGATGCAGAATTCATTTCACAATTTCACACTGAAATCCTTCTGAGGTACAGTAACAGTAAAAATGAATCTTTTTAGAATCGATAATTCAATCCAATTCAACACAACACAAACAATCCAAAAGTTGAGTTAATGAAATAACTGTTTTGAGAGTGCGGGCGATCTCAACAGGGTCGTAATACCCAAACAGCTTTAGTTGTGCTCTCTCTCAATTCAGACGGAACAACAAGCCCAAGGTCAGATCTCTCCGACAAAGAACACTCAGCCAAAAACAACTCTAGCATGAGTCCTTCAAGCGCAGCACTGAAGAGATTGCGGTCAAGCTGCATGGTGGTCCGGATAGATGACGTTGACATTTACCAGGCAAGATTTTATCGTTCTCTGATTTGATTTACCTGCTTACTGTTGCGCTCTGCAAGCAGTCAATTATTTGAACAAGCTACAAAGGTTTGCTGCTAACAACAGAAATGGTAAACATGGATTTATTTGAAAGCAGGGATACACAAATACGAATTTAAAACAGATGCTAATATTTTTTTTCCAGGGAGTCTAACGTGCATTTATTCAGGTCGGTTAGGCCACATGCGATAATACTGAAGTATTTTAGACTTTTTTTTTCATTCAAAGCAATAAAAACACAACCTAAAATAAAATTTCATTACCATGTGTTTGTGTTTCAATTGTTATTTCCAGGGTTATTTAAAGGGGCTTTTAGTTCCCCTTGAGGCAGAGTGAGACCCTCTGGGAATTGTTATTGGCTGTTTTTTTGTTGTTGTTTTTGTTTATGGAAGTTATCTTTTCTGCCCTTTTTTTTGCCACAAATGACTAAAACTTCGATGACTTTCTTTCTCTACCCCCCCATTCAGTTGTCTACAAAGAGCCGTCAAAACAAGAAATCCCAGCCTTTGTTGTCATGTAATCGTAAAGTTTTGAATCTGCCGGATAATATACCAGCAGTTCATTTGCAGTTTACTGAATACTACTTTCCCAACAGCCCCAGTTTCTCAGGTAACTGTCTTGTGTTGTCTTTTTATTAAATGAGTTAGAACTGCATCATCTCCACGACTGAAACCTTGGTTTCATCTACAATGTATTTGCAAGTCTCTCCTGAAATGTGAACTGAACCCTGACCTTGTTTCATACTCCCAGTGCCAACCTCGAACCTGTATGCCCAGGCAAATGGCCTCCAGCTGTGTGTTGACCCAGAGAGTGTGTTGTGGATTAATCTATTTTCAAGAGGGCTGCTGCACACTCTAGACCAGGTCAAAGCTTTCTACCATTTGCAAGACGGTGGCAAAGCAGACGAGCATGTTGACATCCGTCTGGATGCAGCTCAGCTCAAGGTGAATTGTGAAGTTGAAATGTAATTTAAGAAAAAAAACAACAAAAACAAGTCTGAATGGTTAGTCGTCATGTTTTATGTTGCTTTCCTTAGGTGGTGATACCCCTAGATTCTTCTATACTGGACCATCCAGAGCGTCCTCGGTCCCTTTCTGTTACTGTACCTCAGATGGCTTTCAGCAACACCCGCCACTGTCCCCATGGCTCCAGAGCTGACCTCAGCATGACCTGTGACACCTTTGCGAGCTGTTCGTTCTTCCAGCACGAGCCACCATGTCCTTACCCCAGAGACCGCAGTGCCTTCTGCGCCATACCCTCCATCTTCTCCCAGCACTCTCAAGAGTCGACACCTTCGCCGTTCATTACAAAACAACTAAGATCCCAAGATGTGTGGTCCCTAAGCCTGTCCCGTGTTGCGCTAGGTTTCGATGGAACTCGAGGACTCCCCAAAGGCAAAACGTACCCTTTTGTGGAGCCCTTTGCTATGTCTGTATGGATGTGCCAGCCTGATGCCTGGGTCAGGCGTTCATCATCTCATCCCGCTAGCCTTTGCAGGGCTCATCAACTCCCCTCAGAACAACTTCCCCACGAAGATGCTGCGCTTGCCTTTATCCATGTCTTGGCCCATGTCATCACGCCAGTCAAGATGTGGCTCAACCACTACCAGTATGTTGCCTTGCTCAGAATGAAGGATTCCATGGCACGTTTGGGGGTGGAATTAAGTCGGGATCTAAACGACGTTAAGCAGTGTTACGACCAAAAGTCAAAACCAGCCACTGTTTGTCTTGCCCTGCTTTTGGACTCAGTGGAGATGGGTCTCCTCTTACCACCAGCCAGCACAGAACCTGAAGAAGAGGTCCCCCATACTCCAGAGACTGACAGCCCCAGTCTCACAGACTCTGACATCTCCCCTTCTCATCATTCGGCAGATTTGATCCCTGAGGACAGTAGGTTACAAAACGGTGTATCCTCCCTCAGCACAGCCCACACTGCATTTGATCACGCTGAACAAGATGGTACTGTGGAGGAGGCATGTGAGGCTGTTGAAGAGGGACTGGAAGGTGATGCCTTGGCGTTCCTCGAGGACACTCCAGTCCTGTCACCTCAGCTCTCACCTGTCAACTCCCCTATCCTCTCCCGAGATCCCTCCACCTTCAGCCTGGAGGGAGAACTATCAAGCGCCATCAATGTCACCAAAGATGTGACCAAAGATGCCATCAGTGCCTCGCTGGACTTAACCAAAGGCGCTTTTTCAAGAACAAGGGACGCCTTTAGCATGTTGAGTCGTGGTTCTGGGATGAGCAAACTGTTCAGTCCACATGCCAAGTAAGTGCTAGTGCTTTCTGGCTGAGCTGGTGACATTGTAATCAGGCGTTTGTGCATCAAATGCTTTTATTAGCGCTTGATGATCTGAACAGATGAGTGTGTGTTCTTGCACATTCACAGGGAGCAAGTCCAAAATCCAGAAGAGTCCTCCCCCTCCCTGGTGGCCAGCCTAAGGCACCAAATGATGAAGCAGTCACCTTCCCAGCATTCCTTTGACAGTGCTATTTTGGATGGCAGTCTGCCTGATGAAAGTCTGTCTGTGGGCAGTGATGTCGGGGACAATTTAGTTGTTCTTATGGAATCAGGTACTTGGGACATTTCCATTTGAAACAATATCGCCCTAGATCTGCTGCACATTGAAGGATGCAGCTGAACTATTGCACAGTGTGCAGAGTTTGACAGCTAATTTTCAGGATTGGCTGACTGTTGGGCACTTGTTTTGCTGCAATCCAACATTTCTAGCGCCGATAGGAGCCAAATAAAAGTGACATGTTTTATCTTGTGAAATTTCACAACCACAATACTGTATACGTACAATGTATGTCACCCATAGACATTTGACATTGTAAATATGGTTAAGTTCTCTGACAAAAAGCAACACTTATGCACTGTGCTCCTCCACAACTTGGCGGTGGCCGGTCACGTCTTGCTCGCCCAAAATCAGGAAGTGGGGACGTGCAGTGGAGTTTCATGTCGCATTGCTTAAACAAACACCTACATGTGTTGGCCAATCAGATGAGTGACATCGCGGCCCTGTTCTGCCTGTGTTTTACAAGCACCTCAGACATGGTTCTGAAAGCGGTTCCATTACGACCACGTGACCCCGAAAAAGTGTTAAGGAAAAGCGACCACGTAGGGCGGAGCCAGGCTATTTCGGAGTTGAACCCTTATAATGGGAAAGTGGATTAACATCCCAAATAACGGACGCTAAATTCACTCTGACATATTGCACACACATTTAGTGGATGGGTTGCACGTGATCTACTAATTTGTAAGATGTAAAAATGGTGCACACCACCCTATTTGTATGAGGTAGCAAAGTGTAAGTGCAAAATGACATTTTGAAGTGATGGAAATGTAACTTCTCGTGGACGAGCAAACAAACCGTGGATAGTTTGCCAAATGTGTTATGACCTGTTCTGAATCACACACAGCTTGTGCATACCAAGAATGTTGGTGCTGATGATCAGGCTATGAAAACTCTATGTTTGAAATCAGAAGAATTTAGACATGAGTGTGGGAAAAGTGGATGCATCTGCTTAACACTGCATTAAAAAAAAAAAAAAAAAAGAAGCCAGCACCAATAACCACAGTACGCTAAAATGACCCAGATATCTCTTTGCAAGTGCAGTCGAGTTTGCCCCCATTAAAGCATGTCCAAACCTTTTATAAGTCAGGCCTTCAGTGTGTTGTTTGACGTTTCCAGAATCTGGTGTAGATTCTGCGCGTGTCAGTGTCAATCCTTCAGCCAACCGAGGCAGCCCGGCTCTTGGCACAGAGGGAGGGTCATCAGCTGATCTCAGCAGCTCCTTATCATTCAGTACAGAGGATGTATCTACAGATATGGTAGGTTCTTGGGTTCAGACAATGTAGCTATGGAGTTTCTAAACAGATTTTATTTTCACAATTAACATTCTTTTGTATGGTCCTTACAGTCCTCTGTGTTGTTACTCATTCTGAATGGGACATCCTGCACATTGGAAATAAAGGGCGAGGACCAAGTTTTTGCTGTACAAGCCCAGAATCTAAGCTCAGTACAGATGGGTAACGTCAAGGTTTTTGACTTGCTAGCTGGTCTCATTCAAGGTAACACAGACTGCCACTGTGAGACATTAATGGCACACTGCTTATTGGTAAGCTGATTTGTCACTAGATTTGTCTGTTTTGACAACATTCCCTTTGTGCAGCTCCTTCCCACAAGCAGAATGAACATTGTAGCAGGGGCTCTCCTGCAGTGTGTATGCGAGCAGAAAACGGTCCATCTGCAGCACGACACTCTGAAACGACAGAGTCTTTAGGCCTGCTGGATGTGAGAGTGCAAGACTGTCACGTCGAGTTGCTCGCCTCTACCGTAGCAAACATCGGGCCTTTTCTGGAGGATGAATTGAACATGGATGGTCAGCCAATTAACGTACACTTCAGCAATGTAACCATTACTATTAAGGTGGGCCATTGAAGTCCTTTTTAATTTTGAAATGTTTCTGCATGTTACTCGAATGTGATTCAAATGAAAAAACTGTAAAGCTTTGTTTTATTTTGTGAGTTGTTATCTTGTTTTTGTTTTCATTAGGATGATAGCCCAAGAATTTACCCAACAGCTCCTCAGCCAACCTCAGTCACGTTTGTGGTAGATCAGCTGCTTTTTGAGTGCAGTGATGATGGTATCATGAGGCTCAAAGGTGGGCAAAACAGCGTTTTCATCTCTAAATGTTGGATACGACGGGGCACCCATTTATGTTTTGTTTTATTTTTTTAATTGACTACAGCTGAAGTTCTGGACAGTCCAAACTATTCCTGCTCTGGTAATCAGCAATGTGAGGTAAGCAATTTCTGCGCTTGCACAACCATACACAATCATAGGCCACATATGTTACACTCACACAGTCTAATGAGATCCAATACAGGAAAAACACAAATTCAGAAAATACCCAGGTTTATTTAAATTTGTTGTATACTGATTTTAATTTGTAGAGCTGTATAACTGTAATTTTGTTGTCCCAAAAATTAATACATAACCATTTCTAACTGATTGGTTTTTATTCCTAGCTGTATTGCCTCAATTTCCCCTCTGGGGGGATCATTAAAAAAAGATCTTATCAGCATGATCTGTGATGCACGAACACAGTGGTTCTTAAACCTTTGACACCAAGTACCATCACAAAAAATACTTGGCTCCACAAGTACAACCATCATCATGAGAATTAAAATACAGTAGCGTAGTTGGCCAAAGTGTTCAAAAATGAGGCAGAGGTTTTATTTAATATTAGTGTTGGTAAGGCTGTCACTATGGAATATTTTTCGAATCGTTTATTCTATCGGTTGTACCATTGATTCATCATATAATCTGACATTTTATTTTATGTTAAGGTGTATTACAAATTCCTCAATTATGGCTTGTGAACCAATTATTGTTGTTTATTTGGGATTGTATAGTGATTAAAAAAAACTAAACAACAATTATGATTAGCAATATCACAAGAGGGATTGATGTTGTACTCATCAAACTTTTTGACTCATTCAGTTAATTGTTTTCCAAAGTAAAAGCAGATGTTTGTAAATGTTTTCTTATTTTGGACCAACATGTAAGAGTCAGTTTCCCTTCATGAAGGAGAAATCAGAGAATACTTACAGTTTAGTGGTTGAAATTTGATGGTTTGAAATTAGTTAAACAATGGCACAATAGGATAGCTCGATTTATTTAAAAAAAAAAATTGTGCATTAATTTTTACACTTCTAATTGCTAGCCACCATAACAGTTTGAGCATTACCAGTCCACTTAAATATTGGAAAATAAAAACTTTATTTAAATAAGGAGTCAAAAGAATAAAAGTTGTACCTAAATTTTTGAAAAACATTTTAATAAGATTCATGTGAGTGTATTGTATTTTAGCAATGTATTGTAGTGAAATCAAAAAAGTTTGAACATTTAATTTAGCGATGATTTTGCATACCACGAGAGAGAGCCCGCGTAACACCGGTGGTAATCGTACCACACCTTATGAGTTTTTATTTATTTATTTATTTAATTTTAAACTCTGGTGTCTAGTTGTACTCATCGTGAAAAACAAAACCGCGAGATTAGACTAGTTTGCTTGCGGCATCCTGTCATATACAGATGATGTGCTATGAACTGATCTATTCATCCTGCCATTACAGAGGCAAAGCCTGCAGTCGAAACTTTCTGACTCCCAGGTGGCCCTCACACAGGCCCTCAGTGACCGAGATCGCCTCCTTCGGGAGATAAAGAAGTATGACCCTGGGTTCACGCTCTGAGCCCAATGACCTTCAAGCCTCTGTGATGATCACGTACAAGAGCACTGTAAGAAGGTGACGACTGGAAAGTGGAGGTGATTACATGATGATGACTTTAAATTGCTGCAATTACTAAAGGGGAACTTGTAATTATCTGGACAATGACTTTTTCTCTTGATCCGGTGGATTTGAAATAAAACTCAGTGTGTTTCAAATATCGACTTTCAGCGTTAATTTAAAGAATGCTGAATGTGTTATGCACAGTACATCAATTAAAAAATGCCTTTCAGTGAAGGCCAGAAAGAGCCACATTTGTCCAAATATGTTTGTGCCCCTAATACTGAATGTGTGTCCGACCTTGAAAGACGCAAACAAATCTAAACAATTGCTAGAACTTCAAATCCATCATGACGCTCAAAAGAGGCAATACATTGTTTTTGAAGATGTCAATGTCCAAATAATTCCAGAGCTAGCCAAGTAGCTAACGGCTATACTCATATCAGACAGTGAATCAGGTGTTTTCTGCCCACATTAGTGTGGACAGAAAACGCATCTTTTTTTTTTGTTTGTTTTGTTTTTTTTTGTCATGCAGCATGATTAGTTAGATACTGTCAGCCTTTAAATTCTTTCCACTTCAAAGTTTTGGGTGGAGATATTCAAGGTTGATCGTGTGTGAAAAACACGATAAGCGCACGTCTTGGTACTGTAGATCCTAACTATATGAAAGACCTGTATTTATTTATAAAAGTATGATGTAGCATAGTAGTGTCACAGATTGTGAAATGTAAAGAAAACAAGTCACTTTTTATAAAGCATAAAAATACATGAGCATAGACACGTTGAAGTTCACCTCATTGCCATCTTTGAGTTGTTTTATTTCCGTGCAGTGTTGTTGAAGTAATGAAATGTATTGCATTTTGAATTCAGTACCTTTGTGGCTGCTCGTGTTATTACCTGTGGACACCGACAGTGACCACACAACATGCCAGTTAAGTTTACTTGCGTGAGCGCAAGACAGTGCGAAGCAATTTTATGGTTCACTATTCCGGCGCAGTATTTTGGAATCATACAATTCAAAGATGGCTTTGTGGTACTAATTATACATGCTCATGCAGTGTGTCATGTAAAGCACTTTTCTGAACATTTGTGACTGTGAAGTAGGATCGATGTATTAGACCTAATGCTTGCGTTTTCTATTTTATGCAAAATAATGATGTAGCCATTCGTTCTAAAACTGCACAGTATGTTGTTTATGACATGAATGCTTTATTTAAAATGTTGACCTATTCCATCTTGTCATATGTGGTGTGGCATTTTTGCCTTTAGAGGCACTGAATTTACTGACCTCTTAGGTCACCTCATCTTCAGTGTGTGTGGGGCAGACCTTTTGTGGTTGTAACTCGCCAATGCGCTCATTTCAAGGTTATTCCAAGGAATCTTTGCAATATCACCGCTTGATCAACCAAAATCAAAGAAAAGAACAGGTGTTGAATTCATACTTGGTCCTTCATTAGTAAGTGATTCAATCAAGTGTGAAAGCTTCTTGGTCTGCACCTGCTGGCGACTTGATCAACTCCATGTCTGCCCTCCAAAGCAAGTGTGAGGTGCAGAAACGGGATGGTCAGTAAAGCAAAGTGTCTCCTGTGTTTTTGCTCTCATGCATGAACTTAAGTGTCATCGTGTTTGCACTTGTGTGAGTATACTCACTGGATTTTTTTTTCCACTCATCTTGACAAATTATAAAAGATGGCAGGTGAGAGCTTCCAAATGACGCAAGGGTTTTGAACCCTGTGGACAGCACTTGTGTGGAATATTGCAATTTTTGTCTTTATCACTTAAGACTAATGTGAAATTGGTTCTGTGAACCGAGAGTGAGTGTAAAGTATTTTAACAGAATAAATGAACACTTGCTTCAACATATTTAAGTTGTGCTTCTGTGGTCCATCATTGCACCCACCTCCTGACTCACCAACAGACAGGAGCCTATACATCAGTTCATGGTGGACATTGCAATGAATTCATATTTTAAATCTTTAGTAAAAAGGCCAACCCGTAATACTATTTTCAATAATAAAATTGACTGTATTTACAACCATACTTGATCAGTACAACTCCATATCAATTGAACTGAATGTTGTAGCAATCATTTACACTGACAGTTTGACAAGAACCAGAGGCGTTGCTTCCATTTCAAAGTCCTTGGTTGTGCACATCAAAGTTTCTTCAGCAGTATGCAGACTGATCTTGATGTTGGCTCAGCAAGTTGTAAGTAGTCTGACGACAGGCGCAACGTTTCCTTGGAGTAACGGCACCACTTTCGTAGTATGGCCAGTTTGGTCATCAATGACATGTTATTTGAGGCTGCAAACCTCAATGGAACAGAATGTTTTTGTACTTGGTGTTGGGAATCTGATGGCGGCTCTTTAGCCTCCTCACCGCCTCCCTCATGTGTTTGGGCTGAAGAGGTGGTGTGTCTCCCCACTTTTCACAAACATCCAGCGCTGTGAAAACCCAAATTATTTACTTTTAATTAAGTTAAATTATTTACTATTTATTTACAGGAAACTCAAGTCTACCGGAGTGTGCTATACTCTTACCTTCCTCAACTATTTCCCCAGCAAAAACTTTGGAGATACCAGACATGGCGATCACCACGTTTTGGGAAACCGAGGATCCTGTTATGGACTGGATCAGCTAGAAGAAAAAAGAAAAAAAAAAAAACTCTGTTATGATTTGAGAATACAGTGATTCCAAACCACTGTGCTGGAGCAAATCAGTGTGTCATGAGAGGTGTGCCAGAGGACAATACCAAACTTCACTTTACAAATTGAAACGATGAATAATTTGGTTCATCTACAGTATCTATGCCTGTAATGCATTGTATAATGAACCTACCTGTTCCAGTTCAAACAACATAAGGCTTGGCTTCCTGCAAGTACGGTATATCAGCTTTGTATTTAACTAAAAAGGCCCAGACTTCACATGAAGGTCATTATTTTGTGGTGTACCATGCGATTGTTGTTCCTTAGCTCAATACAGTTTTGGAAACACTGCACTAAACAAAATTTAGAAGCTACATACCCTCTTAATAGCTGCCTTTGGGAAGGCAGAACGCCTGTACATTTCATAACGATTCAGCTGGTCTTCAGAGAAAGATGACACCAAAACCCTTCAAAAACAGTGGAAGAAATGTGTTAATGGAAATATATTGAATATGGTTTGTGTTTGGTTGAAAATATCTTACTGCATTTTTTGTATTTCGTCCTCATCAACCTTTTGCCTCTTCTCCTTTTTCTTTTCTGGTTCCACCTTCAGTCTTTTCGATGCAGGCTGACCCGAAGTCCCTTCCTCTTCATCCTCTGCTGCTGCTGGCTCCTTCACACGAAAAAATAAAACGGTGGACAAATATTAAGAGCCAGTCATCTAATTATGTCGGCCGAAACGTAACATTTACTTACAGATGCATCGTCCTGTTTCCGCTGGTCTTGCGAAGAAGACTCCTTTAATTCGTCTGCAGGCTTTTCTGGGGCAGGGGACGATGTGTCATTCGTCGCCTTAGCTTTAGGCTTCTCATCTTGGCCGGCTACTGGGCTCTCAAGTGTGACCTCGGTTTTGATCCGTGCAGGATCCGCCATTATCACCCAATCACGATGACAGACAGCTTCAGCCTCTGCAGGGTCAGATTCTGCAGGAGTTAACCATGGTTAGTCTATCTGTCCATGACTACCACTATTTACATTTGACCGATCGTATGAAAGTAAACATTTGTACACATGTACAGTAATTTCTAAATTGAGCGTCGTGGCAGTGACGCACATTTTAATATTGCTAACATTACGGTAAACACGAGTTATAGGGTTAGGACAATACTGGACCACAGCCCAAACATATCAAACCACGTCAGGGTTATGTTTAAATACAAGCAATGTTTGTTGGCTGGCTAACTAAAAAAAAAAGTAATCATCGCTTACCTTCACTGGAGTCCGGCGTCAACAAAATAGCAGCTAAGATAACAAACGTTCTTTTAACTGGTTAGAATCAAGCAAATACGGCCTAATACAAACATTTCCTTCATAAAGTAACTATTTATTCTCTAATTATGCTAGCGAGTTTTGATTTTTCTGGAGAAAAGAATCAGGCAACTTGCAGCTGCCCAACGTCAGTTCCGGTCGCTGTTCTAAAACCTTTATTGCCATTGTAATTTTTAACAGAGACGGGTTTTTGCCAAACCTTTATTGATACTGTACTTGCAAAGAATATTTATTTTGAAACTTGTTTAAAATTGTCATTGACTCGTGATTTTGGTGCCTTTTAATTTTAAAGGTAATTCTTACATTTTGAATCCATCAAGGATAGAAGTAAAACAAAAATCCTGTTGTAATCACTTTATGTGTACTCTTCGTAAGCTTTAATCAAACATGACGAGACACAAAAATCGAATTCAACTGCAATTATTTAATAGCTACATTTAAATTGAGAATATTCTAGAGCACAGATTTTTAAAAAGGCGACACTAATACAGTATTTTCACCAGGGTTGCCGGTCGTGTTTTATTCGTTTTTTTAACCAAAACGTTATGATTCATCTAATATCAGCCAACGCCGCCTACTGTTACCGTTCACTCACTGTCACCTGATGAGCTCTTGTGAAACGTTCCTGTTCACACCCACAGAGACAATTTGACTGGTTCGAACAAACATACAAAAAAGTGACAGGGGGTTACAGGAATGACGTTCTCGTTATTTTTCAACAATTCGGTTCATCGTTAAATTGAACATTATCAACACGGTCTCTGTGCCCACTTGCGTTTGTGGCTCCATCTGACCGAAATCTCCAGTATCGAGCTTTGAGCAGCTCGGGGAGGGTGTGTATCGTGTAGTGTCCGGGGCTGTGCGCGTTTGTCTGCCTGCTGGGGGCTCGGCTTGGAGATGCAGCAAGTGGGAGCAGATTCGAGGAAGTGACGGACGCCACTCAAGGGACTGGCCAGAGGAAGTTTGCTCCATGGTGGTGCCGTGCGCCTCAGCGAAACTTTTCCCCCTTTTCGGCACCAGCAGCAACGCCGTGGAGCGGGCGGACGAAGAGATAAGAGGTGGAGGCAGCTTTTTGTTTGCCCACAATTGAGGAATACTAACTCGAGATCGGGGGGAAAGGAGGGCTGTCGCAGAGGAATTTCACAAGAAAAGCCCATCCTTCTACTTTTTTTTTTTTTTTTTTATCGCATCCACAATGGGGAAGGAGCAGGAGCTCCTCGAAGCGGCGCGCACGGGAAACCTGGCCGCGGTGGAGAAGCTTTTATCCGGGAAACGACCGTCGGCTGGCACCGGCAGCGGGTTGTATGGAACTGGTGGAAGCGGCAACAGTGGCGGCCACGCTGCCTCCTCGCATCCGCTCTCCAGTCTGCTCAGGTAGGCTCCATTGGAGGGAAGCAGGCGCTGTTAACGGAACGAGCCCTGCAGTGTTTCTCAGTCAAATATTACCCTGGCCTACTCCGTTTCATTATGTAGACTAATCACTTCTGCTAATTTATTATTATTATAATTATTATTTATATACAAGGGAAACATTTTGTCCAAGGCAGCCCAGCTAATGCTTCTTTGTTAGCTCCAAGCCAGCTGTACTGTAATGCATAAACCGCTGGCAGGCTATCATGCATCTTTTTATTATCTATTATAAAAGAGTACATGCTGTTAAAAAGGACTACCAGGCATTATTGAATGTCTATACAGTATTCCCACTGGTGAAGGTGAACTAGCAGCCGAACTTTCATCTAACCATTCAAACGTGTGAGGATAACTCGTGTGTGTGTGTGTGTGTGTGTGTGTGTTGGCTGTTATGAGGGCTTTGGTCACAAGAAAATGCTTACAATATTTGCTATTTATTACATATGAGAATGTGAAATTTTGCAAGATTTTAGCAAGCATCAATCATGGAAGGTGACATGTTTGATTTGCTTTCACGGGCCACATAATATGATGTGGTGGGCCAGATCTGCCCCCCCCCGGGCCTTGAGTTTGACACCAGTGATGTATCTGGATCCAAATGATTTCATTTTACGCAACCCGCTGATGAAATAAAATTGAGTAAATTCAACATGCCATTTTTTTTCTTTCAGTGTACTTAACATACACATCGCTCCATTATATGTATACTGGTAGTCACGCATGGTTCTATTCAAAACGTCATTTTGTTTTATTGTCAGTGTGACAACATTTTCATGAAAATTAAAGGAAACGTATGGACATAAAGAGGGATATCCGGTATTGGAAGTGCCATTAAGCAATGGCGATAAAATGTTTTGGCTATTCAACGCATTCATGTAAAGGAATAAAATTTACAAAATATGCGGTAAATTCGCTTTTTCTAGTTGTCAATCACATTTGTGTATGTGTGTGTGTGGGGGTGGTGTGGTGTGTGTGTTGTGACTGAATTCAGCTGCTTGGGAACATTATGGCAGAGGTCGTAAGAAGGGGGAAGTCCTTGGTGAGGTCAACGTTTAATGAGGTTTTAGCCACCATCTTGAGGATTTTGTCTTCCTGCTGAATTGAATGATGTTTATTTCGATACAAACTATAGTCCATCAAGTCTGTACATGTCATCTCAAGTCTGTTTGCCTGCCAGGAGTCTCTCATACAAATGCTTGGTATACAGCCCTAAATGGATGACATTCATATCAGAATTGGTTGTGTGCCACAATATCCAGTATGGTATGAGTCTGATTGTTTTTGCCAAGTTCTTCCCATGACCTGATATATTGGTGAGCCAAAGCAGCACACACTACCTCAACTTGTTCTAAGTGTGAGTCTTTCATCCACTCCCTAATATCATCAGCCTACTCAAAGTGACCTTGCCTACGATGCATCGTCATCATCAAATCCGGATGAACATCTGTTAGTCAAAGCATCCTAGCCAACTTGATCTCAAGTGTTACTGTAAAACTGAACGTGATAAGTTGGGATACTTCATGCAGACCATGTAGCACTCTTAAATTTCATGTCATTAAAACCTTCTAATGGGAAATCCAATTTCAGAGACATTGTTTTGAAGCTGAATGCCTCATGACCACTGGAGTCTGTCATGCCACCTTCTCAGTCAGATTAATGGGAACATTGTGAAAAAAGTTTTCTCAGATTGGATTGACTATTCCACCATTTAAGGACAGGCAGGTTTCAGATTTACAGAATTTTGTTCCAAAATAATGCAGCTTTTGTCAATAAGGCTACCTTTTATTAACAATCTAACTTCAATCGTTATTATCATTTCACGCTGTCTGACGTGTGTTTTCACTAGCTTTTGGTGTTCTTGCTTTGGAATGGGGCACATGTCAAGACCTGCAGTGTTGTTATATGCACGCAGTAGTGCAGCTAGGCTCTGCGGAATGTCAGCTTTCCCAGGAGGCCTCACACCAGCGGTTGCCATGGGACAGGCACCGACCCCGGCGTGTTTAATGATGCCCTGACCCTAAACATTTGCTCCATTAGAATCAAAACGAGGTGGACAGGGCTGCTTCAAGTTGCAAGGTCATGGCCTTTGAATCGGCTACATGTGGTGCAACCTATTTAAAGCCCACAATGCCATAATAACAATGTCTCTAAATGATGCATTGCCATTACAATAACAATGAAGTCTCTCAAATAAACCCCTTATTATTGTATCTGACAAGAACATGATTGTGGGTCCTTGAAATCCAGCTCTGTATGGGCCTATTTCAAGTTTTATCCCATATATAGCGAGCCGTAATGTATGACTACTATCCAAATCAATTTAAGTGAGGAAAATGTATTCAAATCAGTTTATGACTTAATTTAATTATGTAGGATATTACATTTTCCCACTTGGATGTCTTTCAACAAGTTAACGTGAAAACAATTTCATAACAGTTGGTCTAGGCGCAAACTCGCTAGGACTGGTTACAGGCAAATAAAAAACAGGATTTACCCTAAATTGACAATCAGTTTTTTTCTCAACTGGCAGAATTCCAACCAATCAATTGATCAACTAATCAATTATCATACCTTCTCTGTGTGTTTCTCAGAGGTCTACAGGAATAGTCCCCCCTCCGCCCTCCACCCCCGATTTTCTGGTCCACTTTGTAACAACATAAGCGGTGGCTCTGAGTGAGCTGGAGCTCAGATGAAATACCTGGCAAGAAAAACAAACACTGTGCCCATTGAGGGGGAAATTAACTGAGGAATTCTCGGAGATCTGGACAGACACCCTTAAAGCTTAGCCAGATTGAAGGCTTGTCTTATAGCTTCACAGCCACATCCTTTGTCCAGCTGACAAAGCCTTGCCGGATAGCTTTTCATATTCATATAAGACCATTTGGTGCGGGGGTTTCTCGCCTGTTTCGGTCTTACAAAGAAAACTGAGCTCTCATCTGGCTGGAACTGGACCACCTATTTAGAGTGCCCTCTTCATTAGACTCCCCGTTGGCCAAGAGAAGTCTGCAGTATTTTAGGACCGGACCAGCTGTAAAATGTTCTGTGGATGCGTATTGTTTATTGTCTTGCAGGGTCAGTTTTCATAAGAGTTATAATGATTTGGTTTGCATTTTAATTTTGTCTGGGCCCTACTCCAGATGCTTCCCTACTATTAGGTCTGCTATATCTGGGTCGTTCTATCTAGACAGACCCACACATAAGACAGACTGAAGTCACCTTGAAAAAAAATGTGCTCAGTGAGAACTAACCCAGTCTGTTCTTAAAGAAAAAAAAAACCTAGCACCAAAGTATGTCTCTTGAGACGAGTGTGTGCACGTACTGTATATCTGTGCAGTTTGAAGGTAGCCAGAGTGGTGCTGCTGAGGAAAACTCTTCTTACTGTTTCACCGTAGCATATAGAAATCATGCAAAATCCGACTTCCAAGTTATGCTACAGTACTCCCCTGCAATGTCAATGTATCATTCTGAGGTTAATGTCGAGCTGGCGAGCGGCAAGCTTGCCACTCGCATTGCATCAATTTTAACCTCTGAACTTGGAGACTCTGTGTCTGGTTCAACATGGGTCGTTGGGAAATCTTACACTGCCATGTTAGCATTGCAGGAGCATCTGAGTTTGGGGTGAGCTGCTTGGCGTGTGACGTTTGCGGCACATGTTTGTGTAGTGTGAGAACAAGACGCCTCTGAACAGTGATAAATTACACTTACAATTACACCTATGGACAATTTCGAGTGTGCCATTAACCTGCCATGCATATTTTTGGAATGTGGGAGGAAACCAGAATACCGGGAGAAAACCCACGCAGGCACGGGGAGAACATGCAAACTCCACACAGGAAGGCTGGAGCCGGAATCGAACCCTGCACCACTACACTGTGAGGCGGACGTACTAACCAGCCTACCACCATTACACACACACACACACACACACACACACACACACATATACATATATACATGAATGAGTCCCAGGCCCAAAGTGCTAAAAAAAAAAAAAAAAAAACTTTGATTAAAATCATATATCTTCCTTGATACGAAATGACAAAACCTATCTTGTCGTCTACTTCTCTATCCTGACCTAGAATGTTGCTGGTACAGTATGGTGAATGAAAGGTTACATTATACTTGAGTACTCCCATGTGCGCTTGCTAATGTAAACTCCAGTTCATTCCTCCATTGAAAATCTTGCAATAACAAATAGTCGAAAGGAAACAATAAGAACTATGAGGGTTGTGAGTGTGTCTTTTGTTTTTTTTTTGGGGGGGGGGGGAGCATTGAGATATGGGCCCCAGTTATGGACGTGTGCAGGCCCTCTAGTTGCCCATTAGTGGTCCAGACGTTTGGTCTGTGTGCTCCTGTGGATGGCGTCTCCCTCTATCTCTCACTGTTCCCCTGTCAGCAGTCTTCCTGCCCACCTACTGGTTGCACAGCCATACATCTGTCTATACCACACTTCAAACATGTGACACAGTTAAGTGCACTTGCTTTACAGGAAACAAATTACTTTCTTATCAAGAGGTTCACTTTTCACATCAATTTTGCTATATAAAAGAAGTCAAATAAGAGTTTTCTGGAATGAGACATCCTGAGGTTGACTTCTAAGGCACACTTAATTGAATCATCAGAGAATATGTATTATATATAAAAGAAAAAAAATGAAACGATGATTTGGCTGGTGCACAAATAGATTATTTTAGATATTTTTTTTTTACGAAACAATGATTTGCAATTGTGTTTCAAGTACCAACATATGTCATTCAAATGGAAACAAAACACTTGAAAGCTGCTGTTGGGAGAGTCACGCGTTCACTGTTTGGGGACATGCCAGCTAGAAAATGGGTTGGGATTTAATTGTTTTTTTAAATGTATTTTTTTAATGGCTTGCTCGCCTTCTTTTCTACAAGTCATCTTTCCCTGTTGCCCACATTGCTTTTTATGCCCATCTTGTTAGTTGTGCTGCAGGCCTT